TCGGTAAAATAATCCATGTGACATCAGGGGTTCAACCGTAATTTTACAAAGCTACGAGAATACTTTTTGTGTGCAAAAGAAAACAAAAATACTTTATTCAACAATTCGTCTCCTCTGCGTCACGCTAGTGCCATTTTGGAGAGTATCCACTGAATGTAAATTGCGTATGCTTTTTTGTGTCAGCTGCGCCACGCGGATACGTTGTTTTCGTTCAAATCAAAGTGTAAACGACGTAAACAGCATATCCGCGTCGTTTTTTTTTCCTTTTAAGCACAAAAAGTATTCTCATAGCTTCGTAAAATTACGGTTGAACCCCTGATGTCACATGGATTATTTTACCGATCTCCTTGCAATGTTTTTGGACCTTGATTGTGTAAGGACCCTTGCTGTCTATGGGAGGGTCAGAGAGCTCTCAGAATGCATCAAAAATATCTTAATGCTCTTACAGGTTTGGAACGACATGAGGGTGAGTAAATAATGATGACAGAATTTAAATTTTTGGGTGAACTATCCCTTTAAAGGGAAAAAGATGCCCTGGGGAAAAAAGCTCAGGTTAATGAAAATTATTATGGATATCTTCTGTCTGCTAGAGATCGTAACATTTCACTCAATCTGAGATGGGTAGTTTTCTTCGATTGGCAGTACAGTCATGGCCAAAAGTTTTGGCAATGACATAAATTTTGTGTTTTGCAAAGTTTGCTGCTTCAGTATTTGTAGATTATTTTTCTTTGTAGATGATGCTTCTATGGTATACTGAAAAACAATGATAAGCATATCATAAGTTTTAAAGTGTTTTATTGGCAAAAAAAATATGAGTCAATATTTACAGTGTTGACCCTTGTTCTTCATAACCTCTGCAATTCGCTCTGGCATGCTGGATATTAGCTTCTGGGCCAAATCCTGACTGATGGCGATCCATTCTTGCCTTATTAGTTCTCGGAGTTGATCACAATTTGTGGGCTTCTGCTTGTCCACTTGCCTTTTGAGGACTGACCACAGGTTCTCTATGGGATTGAGATCCGGGGAGTTGCCTGGCCACGGATCCAAAATTTCAATTCAGTATTTGTAGATTATTTTTCGAACCTCTCTCCTTGAAGTTCTTGATGATCCGGTAAATGCTTCTTTCAGGTGCAATATTCTTTGTAGCAATTTCCTTGCATGTTGAGGCCAATATGATGCAAAGCGATGATGGCTACAAGTGTTTCTTTGGAGGTAACCATTACTAACAAGGAAGGGAAGGGAAGAAGCACTTCTTCCCTCCTTTTATAGCAATCAGTCTGCTCTTACAATCTAATTATTATGATAGAGATTTCACCTGACTAGTACTAATTCACACTTTCATATGTGCTGCTGATATGATTAGTCAATTAATGTTAGCTGGTCATTTTGTGTCAGGATCAAAAAACAGTGAAATCAACATGTGCTGCTGATATGATTAGTCAATTAATGTTAGCTGGTCATTTTGTCAGGATCAAAAAAACTGAAATTAGTTTTTTTTTTTTTTTTTGTAAAAAGTTAATTATTTGGCCAATGAAGCTTTTAGCAATTATTTAAAATGCATCTGATCACTCTACATAATAATCTAGAAACAATGTGAATGAACACCACAACAGCTTAAGCAGCAAACTTTGCAAAACACAAAGTTTATGTCGCTGCCAAAATGTTTGTCCATGACTGTAGGTACTCATGCTGCTAAAACACTATTTCTGCATTCTGCTATTTATTCAATAAATCAATCAATCAATCAATTGTAAAGTAGTTCAGTCAGACATTCATGTAAAAAAAAAATCATAGACCACTATATAAAACAGAAATTAGTTCTGGAGTGAGAGTTTTGTTTGTTTCTAAGGTTTTTCAGCAGAGACACAGAAAAGACTGACTTGTCAATTTTTTATTTTCACTGTACATAATGACGGTGCGCCATTGAGATCTTCATCAGCTATGCTTAGGTATAATTAATTCATATAAATCTATATATTTTAATTATATTATATAAAAAAGCCTTACCATTGTGATGGTGTTTTGCATGGGAAGCTCCTCACATTTCCTTTAGAAATATAAAAATCTTGTTCAAGTTGGAATTATGCAGTCAGACTGATAAAACTCCACAACCTCTGCAAGGGTCATCAAAACAATACACTTATCAAACCACGTCCTTCTTTCAAATAACTTCCACCTTTTT